GGGGGGGGTGTTGTACATGCGAACCAGCAAGCCAAGGTCAGGGACGATGTGAAAGGGGGAGGGGGGGGCGGACCTATAGGCAAAGCAGCGCCCTTTCGCTACCGCTACACGTGGTCGCCTCGTCGACCTTTTGCCTAAATTTGCCAGGCAGCTCTACCGTACCGAGCATCCCTATCGTTCTGGGTCGTCGCCGCCGAACTGTCCGCTCTTGGTCTGCCACCGGTCGTCGAGGCCATTGCTGGACTAGCGCCTGCAAAGAAGGGTTGAGGCTGCGCTTGAGGCTGTGGACTTCCAGCCGGACTAGGTCGACCTCGGATCGGTGCGAGATGAGTGGATATGTTGGTCCGCTTGTCTGCAAGGTACTGGTGGCCTTGCGCAGAAGCGTAGCTTGCATTTCCATCGTAATGCTGACTTGCTGTACCACCCAGCGACAAGGACGATGCCGCTGCATTAGCAGATTGGCCTGCTCCCTTTGCGACCAATCCTCCCGCACCAGCACCAGCACCAGCACCCGAGCGAGGAAAGCCGGATCGCAGAGTCGGCGAAGTGGGCGAGGGCGACTGATGACTGTCAATGAAATGGGGCGATGCCGCTCCGCTCGCAATCGATGCGCTCCTACCGCTGCGCACCGAGACTTCGCCGCCAGAGTGCGCCCTCTCGAGTTCCGCGCGCAGGTGACTTGGCCTGTCCAATTGAAGTCGTTCCAAGCTAGACCTCGATGCCACCCCCTCATCATGCTCGTATCCTTGCACATTCGCCCTTTGTGCATTGACGGTCGACGTCGACGAGCTCGCATTGCTCTCGCTCGTGCTGCGACTACTGCCAAACAGACTGAAGCGTTTGCGTGCTGAAGCAGGCCCAGCAGAGGATGGCGCGTTTGGCTGAGTTGATGCAGACGTTGCACCGCCGCTCGGTGTCCGCGAGGACAGCATGAAGGCCTGATTGCTCGCAGACGGTGCGTTGCTCGGCCGGCGCTGACCGGAAGCATTGCTGCCGGCCAACTGAGCGCTACCATCTTGATTCAATCCTCGCGCTCCCGCTCCAACATTGTTGGGCGTACCCGTTCTCGAGGGACTCTCGTGCAAGCCTGCCGCAGATGCCTCCATGCTAGAGATTCCCAGCATTCTCTCCGCTTTGGCGCTACTGTTGCTGATGCCAAGCATGCGCTCCGCTTTCGAGAGTCCTCTCCTACGCGTTATCGGACCGCTCCTTCCCTCTTCTGCGAGCTCATGATATTCTCCGTCGAGCGGGTCGGTATCGGCCTCTGCAAGGGGTGTTGATGACGCCGAGTGTGCAGAGGGGCGAGACGAGGCCAGTTGCTGAGAGATCGAGGTTCGCGCGCCAGGCGTGCGCGCTGGGCTATACGGCGCTTGCGAGCTCCCCACGCTGCCCGATCTTGAGTCCAAGCGTCCTCCAGCAGCGAGCTGTTCTCGGGTGGAGCCCGATGCAGTGGATGCCAGAGCAGCAGCGCTGGCTGCCTCATCCCCCTGAATAGAGTTGCGGGCAGTATTGGAGCCTTGAGAAGTCCTGTTGGCCCATTTCGAAATGGACATGATGTTGCGAAGAGCTTTGATCTGCAATGCTTCGTGCCCACACAGCGCTGCGGTCTCATACAGTGCCACTGCGTAACGATGCCGTTCGTGTGTAGGAATGTCTTCCCTTTCTCGATAAGCAACGGTCGGTGAGGATACGTTCGAGGAGCCAGCAGGGGGGACGAGTTGCCTGTTCAGAGCAACGTGAGCTGCATGCCTCGCCCAAGCATCCAGATCAGCCATGTGATAGGCGGAAGCGATGATGAGCAAGGAAGCAATCATGCCGGGATGCCGTTGCAGTGGGGTGCAAATGCACCTGGCGTAGAAGAATTGGAGGAGCGCTAGCACAACGGGAGAGGGCTCGTTCAGATGCAGCAGGCGAGGGGTCAGTCTCGGATCTGAGGAGCCCCAAGGTGTGATCTCGTTTCGGGAGCTTCCTTCCGGATCGCTCCTTGCAGCTTCCGCACCTGCATTCTGCTTCGACCGGCCAGCCTCCGCATCCTTTCTCGGCAGAAATCCGTGATGCGTCCCACCGCTCTCTCCCGAATCGTTTCCTTCCTCATCAGAGTCGAGCAGAGCGCGAATAGTGCCGGTGCTGATAATGCTAGACAATGAAGGTCTGGAAGAATTGCCGGCGCTTTCCTCGCTGTGCGTCGCGATGCTTCGCTCTCTGCGCGTGCTGGACTGAGCGCGTGCCGCATGCCGAGCTTGCCTCCTGTACTCCCGCATCTTCGCCGCGAACCACGGCCACCTCTTTTCCAGAACGGCGCGGTGGCAGCCCAAGCGGATGCCATCAGCGCAGACAATCTCGAAATCGCCTCGTCCATTGAGCGCTAGAGACATGAGCGGCGGCACGATTCTCTCCGACGTGCTTTCGCTCAAAGACTTGGCTCCGCCTTCCAGCCCATACGCAAAGCTGCCCGCTGTGGCTGCTGTGAGAGAGTCCAGGCCCATCTGCATGGCCTCATCGCTCATCGGCCGCGCTGGCGGTTGGCTGATGCCCCAAGATTCTAGATTGAGCAGCAAGACGTGATCCCAATTAGTTTGCCTGTGATTGTAATCCTGCACGAGATCGCGAGCTCTATTTCCAAATACGATGAGTTTGTTCTTGCTGGGCCACAGCACCGCTCTGTTCCACGAACCGGTGGAAAGCACATTGCCCATGTCTAATCTGGTCCACTGCATTGTAGGTACGTGCAATGCCCAAATGGAAAATGTTTGCGAAGTGTTGGCCAAGTAGGTGCCCGAGATGATGAGGTGGGATCCGAGCATCGCGCCAGTCGGAAAGCGCAAGCCGGGCGGCAAAGATGCGCCAGCCATGTCCTTGGAGCGATCCTCCACCTTGAGCGCCGTGCTCGCGCTCAATCCGGTCGCCGCATCGCTCAGACCAGATTGAGAAGATGAGCCAGGAGCCATCGAGTTGCCACTCTCCATCCTCCTCAAGTTGACCACTTCGAGCTCCCTCTTCACATCAGTGAAGTTGTAATTCGTGTAGATGAAGAGGGGCAATGGCAGAGACAGACCATGCTCATTGCGCGGCTCAACGCTCATCGGTAGCAAATCCAGCGCTGCGCCGTTCGAAGAGGTTGAAGCAAGCATGCCACTCCGATCCAGGCTTCCCGTGGCGGTTGTGGGAGGACTGCTACCAAATGATTGCGGCGTTCTTGCGCTAGTCGCTGCACCTACCGCGCTACCACTTCGACTGCTTCTAGTGTCTGTCGGAGAGACGATGGACGAGCCGGCCATGGAGGGCCCATCGTCACCCGTCGCAGTAACCGCATCCCCCTCGCGCCCCTTGCCATACGGCGCCGATGCTCTGTGTGATTGTCTCTCATCGCCTCGCAGCTGCGCTTCTTGCACTGCCGATCTACCGACCACCGCCAAAGACCTGTACGACCCGCACTGCCTTGGAAAATGATGCGTGATGATCCACCTTTTGACGCGCAAGTCGAACACGTTGATCTCTTCGACGTACTGATTCGACATGTTCTGACCTCCTATGATCACTAGAAAGTCTGAGGTCAAGGCGCTCAGATGAGCATACCGCGGCACGGGTGTAGGAGGTCTGGTCGAAGGTGTCGAAGGCCTTATCGCTGGCTGAGCTGCAAATTCAAAGTCCCACTCTCGAGCTTTGAGGTCAAAGGCGATGATCTCGTCCAATACGCACAGGGCGTCTGACTGCGAACCATCCGCCTTTGGGCTCTTTGGGTCTGAAGTCCCATTCGGAGCGCCTGTTGTGCCCTTGGCCGATGCAGCAGCACCTTGAGCGTAGCCCATTCCGCCAAAGACGACCAGCCGATCTTCCCACAGGTCGGTGCTGTGGAAATAACGAGGTTGCGGCGCGCGACCAGAAGATGAAGAGGCGGCCAGCTCCGGGCTTGAGCTGGGTCCCGCATGTGGCGCACTCGACTCCGATCTGTGGCCGTTGAGAGTACCTGTTCTGCCAAAAGCCTCTATACTTGACCATTGCAGAGTGGAAAGATCCAACTCGTAGAGCGTGTTGACCATGCGCCGCGTCGAGACGAGCCTGCCCCCAAACAAGTAAACTTTGCCGGCCTCGCCTGACCCTGGGCCAGAATCCACAAGGGTGACCGAGGCGCCCTGGAAGCGTAAAGAGAAGGAACAGTATCAGCTATGCAACAAGCAGGATCGTCGCTGTTGCTCCCTTTGTTCAAGCTAAGGAAGCCTTGGCTCTTGATTCAGCCTGCTGATGCGCAGTCTGGCGCTTGGCGAGCGCCAGTTTCCTATTGCCTATCTCGTCGCCATATCGATCGAGCTACCTGTCCCATCCATGCCAGGTACACTCACGACCAATGGAGGAGGTGGCTCTCCCCTACAACCGTGCCAGTGCACAGCGAGAGTTGCCAGTGGAGCATGCATTTCCAAGCGCCTGAGCCGTGACTCCAGCCAATGGTGCTTCGCTGTGTCGCAAAGGTCGAGATAGAATATGTAGGCAAGGCTAATCTTGACGGAGGGGCCAAGGAAGCAAAAGTGAAAGAAGGGACGCAGGATTGCCCGATCCAAATGTCGCCTGCCCGCTAAAGTCCGAGTGCTTGATACTACCGGCTATCTATCCTGATCCGGGCGACGCTGTTCAGTCCAAACGATGGCAGGATAAAATTGAATGCGCGCCCTTCCCAAAGAAAAAGAGGAAAAGGGCGAACCAAATCGTGAGGTGAACAAGTCGCGTTGAGGAGTTGCGATATCGATGAAGCTAGGCTTGTGGTGGCCTGGCTATAGCGGCCTATCAGCTTAGCCTGTTGCGACGGAAATTGCGCGCAGGAATTCAGATCCGATCGCGACTGAAGGGGCCGGTCCTTTGCCGAAGATGAAATCGAAGTCGCGCCGAAATGGTTCCGTAAAGTGGATCTGAGTGCGATGTGTGGGTACGTGTACACACACACATGTGTGTATATATATAGATATGTGGTATCAGTATGTATGCCAAGTATGACGCGGGGGAACAGTGACGCGATCCTTGCACCACTGCTGTTGTTTTGGGCAGTAGTATGAGCCCGTTGGTCGCTGGATCGTTCAACGTCAGGCCAAGATCGGCTGGAGTCGATCGAAGAGAGGGTGGATGGGGTTGAAGAATGGCTGAAGTGAGGTGAACTGACCGACTGGCACGTGAACAAGTGACGCTGGGCGGCGCGGCACCTCGAGAGAGCGGCGAGAGGCTGATGAGGGAAGTCAAGTCGCGATCACGAGTCAAGATTCAAGAGTGCACCAACTAGAGTACGCGGTAGCTCAAGCGCGACTCGTGACTTGAATTGGACACCTGCTGCATATATGCGGTCGCGAAGCGCGAAGTCGTCGAGATGGCAATCAAAATAGGTGTAATGTTCGCGGACAAAGAGATAGCAACTAAGCCGACAGAGGCAAACAAGAAATCAAGAATTGAATGTGAATCTGAATGAGATGGCCAACTTTGATTTCATATTTGCAGCTGGAGGCTGTAACAGCTCACTGGCGACCATGTATACACACAGTCCTGTGGATATAGGTACGCGCTTCCAGTCACGTTTTTTGCATCTGCAACTTCTTCTGATGGCTCGATCTGCTACAGTAGTAGTAGTGGTACGGTAGGTATAGCTGTTTCGATGAAAGTCACATTTAAGCATGCTGTGCGCGGCCCGAAAAGCGAGTCTTGAGTGGATCTTGAAATTGGGCGCGTGCAGCGGATTACTGTACCGCGGTAGTGTGAGTGTGAGTGTGAGTGTGAGTGTGAGTGTGAGTGTGAGTGTGACGGTGACTTGATCGCAGTTGTGTATCTCGTGGAGTTCCATCGAACCAGCATCCATCCATCCATCCATCCATCCATCCATCCATCCATCCATCCATCCATCCATGTCAGCATGTCAGCATGTCAGCGGGCCTGGCTGCTGCTGATGGCTCTGTTTCGTTGGAATCTTGAATGACCACTCACACTTGTGACTGCTGCATGGGCATTCAATCACGAGTCCATTTCACGCACATGCACATACATGCACATGCACGCACGCCTTGAGCTTCCGCATTTTCACGCCGACTCTGATCTGACCAATCTGACCATTCACATTCACATTCACATCATCTAGCTGCATGCTGGCCGGCCTCAAAGCAGGTCAAAGCAGGCAAACACAGCAGGCAGCAGGCAGCAGCATCGGCGTGCGCCAGCCAGCCAGGGTGCGCGTGCGCGTCGCCCGTGACTGTGGAGGCTGCTCTGCGCAGCTATAGTTGGAATTGAGGCCGCGATCGATGCCTATGCGGATGCGGATGCGTGCATGTCTATGATGGTAGCTGATGCTTGCTGCTGAAGAGAAGATACAGTAGGACCGGCGTGCGCAACTGAGTTGCACATCCGCTGCGTTGCGCTGGGCTGGCCAGGTAGCTTACCGTACACATGCCGTGAGTAGCTGCTGTAGCCTGGGAACAGTAGTAAACCATACGCTGCACCGCAACAACAAGCATGCTGCGCAGGCCCAACAAAGGCTATGCTGATGAACACCGCGATAGGGGGGTGCACCTACTGTAGGTATCGATGTGCCGCCAACCCTTTTGCGGCACCGGATTTCGAAAGGTACGGTACGCGCCTCGGCAGTCAAAAGTCGTCAATTCGCAAGTTGACCGAAATACGAATCTTTGACCACAAGGTATGCCAACCGTTACGACCCCCCTTTCAGCCTCTCCTCTGTTCGCTTCGACATTCGTTCAGACGCCATTCACCTTGACTTGTCCGTGCAGGTAACTTGTCTTCGAACAGCTTGCAAACAAAAATTACTAGCGAAGCGAAGCTGCATTTTGCACGGCCGGTGCGGCTCGCTCCAAATTGCGGCTTTGAGCAAGCCCCGCGCTCAACCCCAGTCACCCATCGCACTCGCACGCCAGCCTGCCATGGTGGTACGCACCTCACCTGATGCCTGTGTCGAGATCCTCGTGATAGCGAGAGGCGAGGTGCCTCACTCGCACTATGAATTCGTTTTCGCACGAAAGAAAAACATGGCTTCAGACTCGTTGGGTAAGCTCGTGAGCAACGCACGGGATGGACTTTGAGACTGTCGAACGCTGGGCTCAAAGACGTCTGGATCAATTCGTTGTCATTTGCACGGCCAGCGAATCGCAGAACGTGTATTCAAAGCCGGAAGTGGGAATGCATTGATGCTCTCGATCTTCCAATCCGATCGACGTTTAGGCGGCTCTGATCTCGTCCGCCCACTTCTTTGCGTCCTCATTGTCTGTGCAAAGGGAGAAGCAGCAGCCCAGGATCAGCTAAAGCGGGACAGGGTCCAGAGGAGAGCTCTTAGGAGCACACTAACCAGAGTGCTTGTCGAGCAGCTTCAGGAAGTCGCCATCGAATGTTTAAGAGGTGAAATTCAGGTCAGCACGCAGCGCCCGGATCAGGGTGGCCGCTTTGGCCTGATTTTCGCTTTCCCTGTGATCCAGCAGCTCCTTCCTTTACTCCCTTGGCTTTTCTCGCAACCCTGACAAAGCACCAGCGGTGTACCTGCGTGCAATATGACACTCACAGCGAGTAAGTGATCCACGTACTCCTTCTTGGCCTCATCAGCAGAAAGACCCTCGCGGCTCTTCCAAGCGTCCCACTTGGCCTTTCCCGTAAAGTCTGTATACATGGCGGGTCAAAGTGATCAACAAACTCCAGTCTCGCAGCGCATTTGTACCCTTCCTGCCATCACGCCAAGCTCAGCCCATCTCTTAACGTCTTCCAACACTTACCCATCATACCCGGACGGCTGGTGTTGACATCACCATTGCTGACTTGCTTGAACAGTCCGTAAAAGGTCAGCTGGTCGCTTTGGCTGGGCTGCACAGGTCCATCCTACGATGCGCAGAACAGCAGAATATTAGTCGTCGGCCTCATCCGTCATGCTTGACTCGTGTTGCAGCAAAGCACGATTTCCTGGGACACTCACCTTGGGCATGCTGCCGATGATGGACACGGCCTACATATCAAAAGGTTTGTCGAAAGAGTAAGGGCCGGTCAGCTTAGTGCGCTGTGCCACATTGCAGCGCACCATAGCTGTCCCCCAAGCCTAGGCTGCTCGCCCTCTCACCTTGTCGAATTGAGCAGAGGACATCTTGAAGTGGCTCTATCTGGAAGATGATATGGCGAAGAATGCTGGTTGATGACTTCTACCGATGAGCGGGGATGGTGGTAGTAGTAGTGTGATGAAATCGAGAGCGCTAACCCCCCTTTTCACGACTTTTCGCAACGATCGATCGATCGACCTCGCGCTCGTTCGCTCGATCGGCAAAGCCGCTTCTCACGAATTGCCGGCGAGTGTGTGAGTGTTGGGGGAGCCGGCGCTGTTCTCTGCATACACTACACGCTGCACGCATGCACCTCCTCCCCGCATTCAACGTTGACGCCCGCTGATGCTGCGCTGCTCGATCGACCTCATCACACTCAGACTTTGCGCGCGCGGCCGCGAGCCCGCACACAAGCACGCACCTCCGATCATGCGGTGCACCGTGCGCGCAATTCAGTCAGTGACAATCACGAGTCCAGGCCACGCTTCCCACGTGGAAAGACATCAGCGCCAACAGCGGGCGCTCTGCAATTCACCCTCACGATTGACCGTGCGGTGCCACACAGATGGTCAGCGTGCCCATGCTCATCATCCTCATCACGATCTTCCTGCTGGCAATGCTTGGGCGAGATTCATATCTCACTCGCCGTGGCGCTCAGCCCACTTACCTGGACTTTGACTTGTCAGAAGGACACGCGACTAGTACCGGGGCGGGCACGTCGGGGGGCCGAGGAACGAAAGTGGGATGGATGTTGCTGACGCTTGCTCTTCGGCTTGCTGATTGGAAATTGTACAACTTTGAGAAAGACCGCGAGCAATGACTCAGCCTGGCAACACCATCTTGTCCACCGAATCCCACATGACTAGTCGTCATTGAGTTCAGCAGCGAAATCGGCCAGCATCGAGCTGACCTTGCGCTGGAACAAGAAAGAACAGACAGTCTGAACTCTTAAGCTACCTTTCGCGCTCGCGCAAATTTGGACTCACTCGCGGCGCTAGCTTTGGTCCATCCTCCTCCTCCGCATCGCTCGCTCCATCGCTTCCGGCCCGTTTTGCTCCGCGTCCTCGTTTGCTACCGCTTCGTGTCGTGCCCGACAAATCGGTGTTGCCTTGAAGCGCCTCCAACTCTGCTTTAAACTCGCGCTGGTGCAGCGAGGGGATTGAGATCAGATCACCGAGCGTCTGGACATGGCTCGTTCTTATCTCACCTCTTCGCGGATCTTCTTCGCTCTCTCCATGGACAGGCGGCCCGGCTGAGCAGACAGGCGAGGCGTTTTAGTTGCAATCTGCCATCACAGCCAGCAACGAAGTAGTCTGCTCACCATGCCAAGCTCTTCGAGGATGCTCCGAACGACTTTGCATTGCCGCGCAAGATCGGAATCGTTGTCACCCCCGCATCCCTCCGCTTCGAATACTCGCTTCCATTGTTTTCGAACTCCTAAGGAGATTATATGCTTGAGCGTGAGCAGATTCCTCTGAGGCGGATATCGAGCTCGATTTCGACGCACCACAAGCAAGCACGTATGATTGCAAACGTTTGACCTCTGCAATCTTGTCGGAATTCTTCGCGCACTCTCTAATGAACGACAGAACCTCTGAGCGCACAGCTGCATCAGAGCGCTTCTCACCTTATCCGTTCCGGGTGTCTCGCCTTTCGACCTCCGCCTCTTCTTCATGGCACCTCTGTCCTTCGATACACCGCCAATCTTGCGCTTGCTCTTCTTCTCGGATATTTCATCATCATCAAGCAAGTCCTCCGCATCCGTAGATCTCTCGCTTTGCTCCCGATCTTCTGCTTCGGACTGCATGCAGCGCGCACGGCCGAATAGAATTTCAGTAGACAGACGTCTCCTTGACGCCCTCGACTGCGCCGCATAGACTTACCAACTCCTCCGATTCTGATCGCGCGCCATCGGCCTGCTTGGCCTCTTTGATCCCCGACGATCCAGATGTTGCCTTGACCGCAGGAGCAGCACCAGCCTCCGACCCTCCGACCTGCTTGGATGGAGTGGCAGAGTCCTTCTTCTGCTTGACGACCCTTTCCCCATTGCTAGTCTCGAACTTACCACCCAACGTACAGGAGAACATGGACAAAGGTACACAGTCAGCTTCGCTCACCTCACCTTCAGGCGAGACTACGAGCATGGAATCCTAGCCAGCAACCTTCGTCCCCGAGACTTCCGTCTCTAGACGGAGCGCACCCAAAAATTCTCGTTGCTAAATACACTCTTGAGAATACCTCACCACGCATTCTTCAATCGTATCCTTTACAAGCTGCTTGTGAGGAGCTAGCGTGTTCTTGCTTTCGAGTTTCAATTCCTCGACCACATGTTGCTGAATGATGTTGCGTGTCAGTTGACTAGAACGCAGCATGCAGGCGTACAGCCTTTCAGCCTCTCTCTTCGCACCCACTGTCCTTGCTCCAGCAAGACTTACCCTACGTCTCCCGCATACCGCTCAAAGAAGTCTTGGATGCACGCTACCACTCTAGCACCGTCTGGTGCGTCCTTGCTTGCTGCCGGCATGTTGCAGAGGTCTGAGCGAGGGTGTGACCCAACTTTGGATGGGAGCGTTCTGAGCGATCCATGCAGAAGCTACGAGGAGCTACAGGAAGGTTGCCTGTAGCTTGTACGATCATGGGGCCACACCGGGTTGGCGCGGAAGATTGAAGGAACCGGAATGAGATCGTGTGATGAGTCCGCGGGGCGTGTGGACATTTGGGAGCATATATACAGTCAAGTGTATAGCGAGGTGAAAGGAAAGTCCCCCCCGTCCAATCAGTGAATCCTACAGGCGCATCTGCTGTGCCGCGATATGTGGAGAAAGCGCGTGTCGCGTCACGCCTTTGCGCGTCGCCCACTCCGCGGAGGCTCGAGCGCTTGGACATCGATTGATACATTCAACATTCACAATTCAAAATTGCGAGATCAAAGTGAAGCTATAGCGAGCGGTGAACGGGTGAGTGAGTGAGTGAGTGAGTGAGTGAGTGAGTGCCTTGCCCGCCATGTCAGCCCATCACAAGAACAACGGACCTCCCACTCAAGACTCTCGACTCTCGACCCAGGAAAGTCAATCGCATGACACATCACACAAAGCAGGTTGAGCTGAAGCTCAGCAGCTTGCACTTCTCCCAGATTGATACGCTCGATCGCTTTCAAGACGAAGGGGTGTGTTGGTCGTAGCCATCTATCTGATTTCACGATTCGTGATTGGTGAGATGGCCTGTCTGTTGAAACATCAACTCAGACTGTAGGCTGATGTTACAACAAATGTAGCAAAGCAGATCGATGATCAAGTTGGACATGTTTCTGGTCTTGCTGCTTTCTCATCGCCTGATCCTGCTGTCGCTCGAGATGACGAGGGCATGGGCGGGAGAGGGAGCATGTTGCTTCATTGTCGTGCATTGTTGCATCCCAAGTGCTCGATGGAGATGGATGGGTTCGGCCGAGGAAGGAAGGGGCTGCTGGGCTGGCCGCTCGAAGAGAAGTTGCGCTTTGAAGCATGAATGGCAAGAAGAATGAGCTTGACGGGCAGGGGAAAAAAAGAGAAGTGCGACCCATCTCGGCGGCACGTTTCACCGCTCGCGCGCCCTTCTCAAGCGTCCATCTTGCTTCGCTTCTTCGAAGGCGTAGCCTGAGGAGCGATCTGCTCGCCATCCACCTTCCTCTCACCCTTTTGCTCAGCCAAATAACGTTCCAGCGCGATTGCACCCCCCCTAGTTCCCGCCATGCTCTGTCTCATCTTGACCAAGATCCTACCTTTCGGCGCCCAAGGCTTGAGCTCGGGAGAGTATTGGATGAGCTTGGAAGAATCTTCGTTGAGGATGCGCAGCATTGCGTAGGATAGAGCTGCCCAGTGTTCGTCTGCGAAAGAAACGTCAAGCATGACGGTCAGACGTGAGGATGCATGGGACACTCCTCACGGTCGACAAGACATTGGGGGACACGCAACGCTCACCTCCAAAAGTAGCCTAGGCAGAGCAGACGATGTTTAGGCACGAGGTCCATCAGCAGTCAGTTGGGCACGGTCAACGTGCAGCAACCTATTTCGTCCGCTCAGAGACTCACTGCCGAAGCCGGTGTCTTGCTGTTGCTGGGACTAGCAGGCAACGAGCTCTGACCCTTGCTCTTGCTCTTGGGCGTGCTAGTGGCAGACGAGGATACCTTTTTGCTCTTCTTGTCGGGACTACCCGGCTCATTCAAAACATCTTCGCCAAGAACAGATTCCGAAGTCGTTTCTTCACCCTGGCTCCCGCTCTTTGAGTCGCTCTCGAGATCGCACGAGGCTTCGCGCTTGACGGATTGGCGCACAGGCTAGAATGGCAGTGGGATGGTGATGCGATGTCAGATTACACTCCACCGCGCCTGGAACTGCCGCGATGTGATCAAAAAAAGCCCACGCTGCACATCAGCTGCTCCACTACTCACTCTGGTCATTGTGGACAGGATCACTTCCTTCGACTTGATGTTCGAAACGTCGAAGCGAGTGTTGCAAGCTCCTTGCTGCTGAGCGCCGTTTCCTGAAATCGCAAAGACCAGCAGTGGTGCGGTGAGGCGGGTGCAATCAAATTGGTTGATAGTGTGAGGAGGGCATTGGACTTCTCGAGTTGGAAAGTCCTGAGTCGGCATAGATGAGATGACGATCGAGTGGAGTGGAAGGATGGACGCGGTGCGGTTCACGTTTGAGTGTGTTTCAGGCTCATGTGCAGTGTGCGCTGGTATTCGACTCCCAATCAGGATCGCACTCGAAGCTCCGCTCAGCTCAGCTCAGCTCAGACGCCTTTTTCGCAATCAGCACAATCGTGGATCAATCAACAATCACCAATGTGAACGACAATCAAGTCGCCACCTCCTTTCGATCAACCACTTGAATATATTGATGACGAGCAGATACGACAAATCAGCGCCCGAGTGATGATGATTGCCTTGTAATTGTCGCTACGTTATATGAACAAGGAGGCGCGCAGTGTTGCGACTCGTCTGCGCAATTAGCCCGGCTCCCAACAAACAAACACCTACTCACACTCGCGCTGCTGCTCTTGCTTGGTCTGACCTTCTCCTCTTCTCACTCGATCGTGACTGACGGCGCGTTTCTTTACCCCAACGAGACGTCCGTCTAGTAGCCTGCCGCGGCAGCTTGTTCGTCTCTGTATCGCCCTCCATCTTGCTCGGCCCAATCGGACATGGACTCGAGGTCACCTAGCTTGCTTACCCGCACACATACTGTCAGCGAGACAGAGCGCCGAGCCGCATGGCAAGCTGCCCTTTGCAGATCCCTTTCTCTAATGCCATCGACAATCCATCTGACTTCCACCCAATTCGAGCAGCGTGTGACGTGTCCACTGAATGCGTACAGACATCCACTCTGAGGAGGTAGTCCAAAACCACACGAGCATGCAACTGGTCAGTGGCCTGCTTAGCTACCGCATGCTCTTGATTCCTTCTCGTCTCTTGCCCACCACTTCCATCACGTGTGGTGAAAATGCACGGATCGTATTGCAAAAGATTGACTTGTATCACAGAACGACGAACGAAGCAGGAGTGTATCTCTTTGTGTTGTATACGCTCTTGCCAGCCTGCGGGTAGATGCAAAATCTCAAGAGTCAGCCAGGGCTGAGCTTCTAAACGACTCGTGTCTACCACGGCGTCGTGATCGCCAACAACGACCTATGCATCAATTTGACAACATGAACACTCACCTCCCAGCCTGGTACGTCCTTCATGATCTCTTTCTCCCTCGCTAGCGCTGCCGCCTCTCTCCTGTAAGCATCTCTATCTCCCTCTGCCATGAGCATAGGCACCAAGTGAATGCGTGACCAAGCCTTTTCCCTCTCGAGTTCTCTGTTCACCAAACAATTGCCAGATGTTCAAGTCAGCATGAGGAGACACAGATATCAGGAGCAGAAGAACCCCTCTCCAACGCAGCTGCCCACCAAGTCGATCCATTCCCCACCAGCTTCCTCATTCGCACCGACAAATCTGCTCCAAATTATCAAGAGCTTCTAGACGAGACTCACTTCTTCTCGTGCACACCAGCAGCTACTCTATAGAATCCGTATGCGCAAATACCAAAGACGGCGCCAAAGATGGCTATCCCACCAGGACCTCTAGCTGGAAGGTTGCGCTTGTACCTGATCGGTTCGTAACCGCCTGCAGGAGGCAGGTCCTGCGAGTAAGGCACTGTGAGCGAGTAAGAAAGAAAGAGAGAGAGAGCGAGAGAGCATCGTTAGAACAGTTGCACGAATCGCACTCGGCATCCGATAGAGCTTGGGCACTGGTGCGATCGCTGCAATCCTTTCTGCTGAATATCGCGTAGAGTCGCACTCCGCTCGGACACTCACCACCGCCAGAGGACATCTTGCGACTATCTAATCCCAACGAATTGCGTGTGGATGGCAGGATACCAGGAACCTTGAGTCTGCGAGGGCTTAGAGTGTAGAGCGAGTCGACAGTCTTGAAGGCGTATACCCTGAGCTCAGACTCGTGATCGTGCTCATGCAGAAAGGTGTTGTCGCTGCGAGATGATTGTGATCGGGTGTTCTGGAGATCGACGCCCGTCTATAGTAGTATGAGCTCTGGTCTCACTCACACCGCGTTTATATTCCGGACGTGCGTCACACCAGGCGCCATCAGCCATGCAGCCAACCAACCACGTGGGCGCGTGTACTCAGCAAAGACCGCGTAGAGCAGCTGGAGGCCGCACGGACACGCTATAGCAGCAGCGTACAGTAGGTACAGCAGCGCGCACGCGCGGGCGCCGCGCTCGACCAAGGTTGAGGATGCGTGTGCTGATGAGAGGTGCAGCATGTGTGCACTACGCTGCGCAACTTCCGCGCCGAGACGGAGGGCCGGGGAAAAGGAGGGAAGCTGACCTGCTGCTCAGCAACTCTTCCCGACTGACTGTCTTTTGCAGAGCAACTCGATCTAGCAGCTGTCTCCATGTGCCATTGCACAACAGTCACCACATTGAGATGCAAGCCAATTTCGAGTGGAAGAAATGACGGAGAAGGATGAGCTGATGCTAAAGGGAGAAGACGCCGATGGGGCGGCTAATGCCGAGCGACCCATTCCACGCGCGCCGATTGCGCCCCCTTACAAGGAGCTTACACTCTCAACAGAAGCACGACCTTTGCTTGGAGCAGGATCCTCTTCATCATGCGACAAAGTTACATTCCCAATCGCAGCATTACCAGCCGCAAGAGACGACCGGCCACATCTGCTGGTCCTGTGCGGTGTAGTGGGATCCGGCAAGTCCTCATTCGCCCAATCGCTCTGTTCTCTCCAACGACCACGCTACATTCGAGCCTCTCAAGACGTGCTTGGCGATCGACGATCCGTCATCTCTCTCGTCTCGCAGCACCTTTCACAGAGAAGCAACGTGGTCGTGGATCGAACCAATGCGGATGCTTCTCAGAGGGCTTATTGGTTGGATCTGGGTCAACAATATGGAGCCAAGACGGACATCATCGTCTTCGATACGCCCTTTAGTACCTGTCAGGCACGTCTACGGGCAAGAAAAGATCACGAGACGCTCAAGTCTCCTGCTCAAGCACTCAATGTGCTCAGAGTATTCACGAAGCAATGGAGGATGCCCACGATGGAAGAAGGCTTCGAGCATCTTCTTGTATTGCACGCACAGGAGGAGGAGGAGGAGGAGGAGGATGAAAGCCCAAAAAGACCTGACCATGGGCATGCTGAAGCAGCACAATTTTGGAGCGAAGAGGTGATCATGAACGTACTGCAACAGCTGCAGGAACAGGCATGCCCTGCTCAAGCTCGAGATGAATATGTGGCCGAGTGGGAAGGGGGAGGAGGCAGAGGCGGAGCGCAATGTCGAGGGAATGGGCGCGGAAGAGGTGACAAGTCAGGAGGCGGCAGAGGCGCATCGAGTGGTGATGTGAGCAGGAAGAGAGGCAGAGGGGCGCACCGTGGAAGAGGACAGTACCGGCACGAACGGGGCGGTGTACCACCTTGGCGTGTGCCCGGCGCTTTCGGATCTGCACATCATCACGACCAGTCCCACATCGCCGAGACACGCTGAGCTTCCACTCCACTCCGGCGCGGATCGAGGCTCTATGGCCAGGGCGAGCAAGTGCCCATAGCGTGCTCATGACCTCTTGCTGATGCGGAAGCAACGAGAGGCACGAGCTCGGCTTGGCGCTAGTGTGCTCCCACCCTCGGCCACGCATCTCGAACTACGTGTAGCAGCAGCACTCGACTTCACCTGCCATCAGTCAAGCATGTCGAATCTGCGCCGCCGTCTGCGACGAACTGAAAAGCAGACGGTCCTGCCAGCATACGCATTGCCGTCGGCACTTTTCTAAGCCGCGCAACACGGCTACGGTGCATATTATCGATTGCTAATGTCTTTGCGTGCAGAATAATGAGTGGTGCTTGGTTGGTGATCGATTGTCGCAAGCCAAAAAAAAAAAAGCTTCTAGGAATGCCAAAATTCCTTCTTCTGCAATTGGGAGGGCGCACTGGACTGAAAGCAGCAGGCAGCGACTGCAGCACCTTCCCGCTCCTCAGCTCCACTCGCTCTCACGATGTACCACGGGGGGATCATGGATAAGAAGACCTCATTGACGCTTTAGCGAGCCTCCAACAGAGGAGTGCAGCAAGTGCATTCTCTCTCCAGGGCGACATTCGCATGATTCGTGGCCTCACCCTCGATTACTTTGCAGTGCCTTCATTCTTGTGGGGAGCATCGTCCTTTTGCGCCTTCGATCCCTGAAAGTACTGTCGCAACAAAAGGTAGCAAGATTCAGCTTTCAATCGTTCCCATCCCATTTGGCAAGGCATGCAGGGAACCCAACGCTCACCTTTCCCACCTTTGCCAGGACATATCTAAGGGATCTGCCGAATCCAGCAGTGTAGACACCCTTTACGCTCTGAGCCCAAGCAGGCCCCTTGACCGTCTTTGCAATCATCTGCAGCAAAACCCTTTCAAAGTCTTTTTGCTCCACAGCAGCTTTCCAAAACGCTTTGCGCCTCTGCTTTTCCGCATCCGCGTCGTCAGAGTGCCGGGAGACGGCGCTGGGCTTGCGAGTCACCTGGTCCGATCGCCTGCTCAGCGACAGGGCCAAAAAGGCTGGATGTGCATCCGGATGAGCCGTGTAGTGCGCTTGCACCTTTTCTCGGAGCCGCAGAGGTAAGCGACCTGCGTAGTCTGCTCTAGTGGCGGCAGATGTGTCTTGCTATAGGTCGTGTCAGGTCCGAATGGCATCAGCATGGAGCAATACATTTCAGGGAAGCAAGCAAGGAGTCGCATGCGTGCTCACAATCATGGCAAATCGATCCGCCCTAGTCTCTTCTATGTGGACAGTACCAAAACTCCTGACGAGTCCAGCATATAGCCGCCTGAATTGGTCTCGCTGGCCTAGCACGATGTTCCGCACCTTGTCCGCATTCTCTCCGCCTGGCACACTCATTCTGAAATCTCCAGTGTAGCTGAGAGAAGCGATCTGCGTGTACAGCTCCACCTCCGTGAAGCGCTCTGGTAGCAGCAAAAGCGCTACGCGCAAAGCAGAGGTCAAATTCACCTGTTGCGCTAACCGCACGCGAGCGTCTGCTTGCAGCATCGCGACCTGGGAGACGATGTCAGCCTCTGGGCGTGAGTGAGTGTCAAGTGTCGTGGTTTAGAAAGCATGACACGTACTGGTTTGTGCATCCTTCCACTGACGTACAGCGTCTCCCAGTCGAGCAAGTCGTTGCACAGATCATCTACAGAGATGACGCCATACTTGATGAGCTGAAGTCCCGCGGTGAAGATGTGAGCATGATGGGACTTGTAGGACTTGGCTGGCGTGCACACCTGACGGAAGAATGCAAGGTTCAAAAACTCACCTCATCACCCATCTTGACATAAGGGTTGTACCACAGTCCAGCTCCCCATTTCTGAACTTTTGCAGCCGCAGTGCCTCCAAGCAGCCTAGCCACCGTGGGATAGTGTCGAGGGTGCTGCTTCATATTGACGCTGTGCCAATGCTCAGGATGAGCAACAGCCATGACGACATCTATCATTTTCCCCTTGGGACCTTGAGGTCTTTTCGAATGTTCCGGTCCCGCATCCGACTGTTTGAAGACTCCGGATCCATAAGCGAAGGCGAAACGGATGGGTGCGCGGAAAGAAGAGTGGATGTTGGAGAGTCTGTGATTGAGGTGGGAGGAGAGGGGAATCATTTGATTTGCTCCAAAGGCTTCGGGAAAGGAAGGTGGTGGAAAGGAGGTTGTGCGCAGTCCGGCAGGTGGAGCTTGAGGTCCCGATCGTCGTGTCGTGCCGGTGGCAAAGGAGCCTAGATCCCGTCTGCATTTTGCAGAAGTGTGAAGCGTTGCGCTTCGACTCGCTCTTGCGACACCAATACGCGCTGACCGCTGATACCAGCTCCGACTCCTGGCAGAGAAAGCGAGCGGCAACTCTACCTCGCTTGGAGCATGCGCTACTCCCAGCCCTCGCATCACTCCAGCTATCCTCTCCGACGTCGCTATAATCATGCGACGCGAAGCAACATCTCCCACGCTCGCAATCCCTCGACGGCAAGTGCACTATGAACGGCAGCAGCAGAAACAGCGAGCGCAATTGACCCTCAGCGCTTATTCTTGGCATCCAGGTGCCATGCAGGCAGCGCTCAACAACAACTCACCTGCATCGTGTAGAATCGCCTCTAATTTTCATAGGCCCCTCTTTGCAATCCCACACAAAGCTGATCCGCACCGGAGGAGAGGGTAAGGCGAGCGAGCGCCTACAAGCGTCAGACTAACAATTTCCTCGAGCTGAAGCTGATGCTAAGCGAAGCGCTGCGCGTGCAAGTTGATCCCAGATGGGCGTGTGGATTGGTTGTGCGTGCGAGGGAGCGTTCGGACGTCGCAAGAAGCAGGAGGTTGCTCGCGCGAACAGAACCCTGAGAATTAACAAAAGCTTTCCTTAGACTCGCCCAGCAAAAGTGGAGGGGGGGTGGGGCGCGGGGCGAACGCAGCGTCAGGCACAGGCAATTTACACTGCGCGGCGCGTTATTGCTGAGCTCAGCGCCCTTGCCGTGTCGTGAGTCGTGACCGCATGCTGCCGCGCGCGGGCGTTGAGCAATAAGGCACGCGCTGGAATCACAATTAAAGGCGGATTGGATTCACTGATGATGCACAAAAATAGCATCGTCAATTCTCCCATCCAAAAGCCAAACAGTTTGGGTGTTGCCGTCCGTGTATGAGGGAGGCAAAGCTGGACAGTAGAGAGTAGACCAATTCGACGTGCAACGGGCTAGACAGAGCATCCATCTGCCTTGCACCTGCCCGCCTGCGCAAAAATCCTGACAAAGTGCATGCCACGCCACGCCACGCCACGCCACGCCACGGTCCACCCTCGCGCTGGCCCCGCGCGCTCAAACAGCAGCAGCAAACCAGCATACCCAGCCAGCATCCAATCCATCCACACACCGGCATCACTTGCCAGTCCAATGTGTTTCTTGCAAGTCACCTTTCAACTTGGGGGGCCCATTGGCAGCACACAGCGTCTAGATTGCATCTCAAACGTCAAGTTTGTGTCCCATCAGGCTCATTTCTCAAGCACGTTCAGTCAAAAATGTCTGGCGTTCTCGGCCGAAAAACTTAAACTTCCACTCCTTTCACAAAATTCTGCGGCGCCATCGCTTCTCGGCATCGCTATTCCCGGCACGCATGCGAATGTAGGACTGTATTTTCATTGTTGTAAAACGGACTTCGACACAATGAGGGTTTTGTAGAGTGCACTTGAGCGGGAGGAGAAGCGGAGACGAGTTGCGACTTGATGAACAATCGTTTTCGCTTATCCGGAACCACCGCTGTAGACCTTTCCGAGGAGAAGCTCCTGCAGCTTGTCGTAACCGGAAAGCACACCAGCACCGGCAATACCACGGAGAATGTTGGCTCCAGCACCTGCAGATGAGCAGAGAAGAGACGAGAGCATGAAGTGGTGACGACTGTCAGCGCAAACTCGTCCTTGCCGATCGCGCAGAAAGGCTTCCGATGCTTGGATGCATCGTTCTTCTCTGCTGAAGCAACAAAGATGCCCAACTCACCCTTGAAGAGAGACTTGACACCCTCGGCCTTGACGATCTCGGAACCGGCGTGAACCATGTTCTTGTAGTGGGGTCCGGTACCACCCGAGGTCATCATCATACGGCGACGGATAGTGTCCAGAGGGTAAGAAGCAAGACCGGAACCAGTGGTGACAACCCATCCGAGAGCGAAAGACGCAGCGAAGTTGCCCTGGAGAGATCCGGTGAGGACGACGGGCTTGAGGGAGTCGTACATACCGAAGTACAGACCACGGTAGACGACGATACCAACGACCGATGGAACGAAACCACGGTAGAGACCAGCGATACCATCGGAAGCGAGAGTCTTGCGGTACACGTCAATGAGACCGTTGAACTGACGCTCTCCTCCACCCTTGGCGGAAGACTTGGCGTCGTTTGCGAGACGGGTACGGGCGTAGTCAAGAGAGTAGACGAAGAGCAAAGAAGATGCACCAGCGGCACCACCAGACGCAAGGTTGGCCGACAGCTGCTTCCAGTAAGGGTCGCTCTTGGGGACCTTGAAGAGACTCTTGAAGAAGTCCTTGAAGGCAAAGTTCAGCGCCTGGGTGGGGAAGTAACTGCACGCGTGCCGGGTTTGCACGGATCAGCAAAATTGTGCAAAGACACCGAAGGATGCAAACACACTCACCGGATGACGTTGGCGGTGTTACCACGCCAGAGAGAGACGGCGCCCTCCTGAGCGATGGTGCGGCCGAACTGCAGGAGTAAAAGACGCCATTAGATCGCATGCCTCTTTCTCAGCTCAATCAGTGGAATCTAGCGCCTGTGCAAACTCACGCAGTCACCGATACCCTTGTAGGGAGAAGCGAGACGGCCCTGCTTGATCATCTCATCTTGGTTTTGAATGAGGAGCTTGACTCGCTCAATGGGTGCAGCAGCAGTCTTGGAGACAGCGGCGGAGACACCACCCATGACTGCGTGAAAAAAGGCACTTTGGCTTTAGCTTCTAGCTCTCACGCCCGCATCTCGACGAGGTGCGTGCGAAGTCAGTCCACTCACGGAAGTCAGTGGCGAAGCCACTGAGGCTCTTGGTGCCTTGCTTGGAGGGGTCAACCTGTAGGCAGAGCAGAGAGCAGGGATCAGCATATGGTGCACGTCACCTTCCCATCGCGCTTCCGACGTACAACTGTGCCCCTGCATTCAGAGAGAGAGATAGAGAGCGCAAAGGCAAGAAAGCGTCAATCGCTGGCCAACTAGCTGGCACCATGAGCTTCCCGTGTGTATCACAGCAACACGACTCACATTTTGACGAATGCTGGGGAGACTGAGTGGTGATTAGAAGACGTGAACCGGTCAACGGGAGGTGGTCGGGAATGAGGAGAAGAAGCTGGACGAGCAGCGCACAAGATTTCAAGCGCACGCACGCACGCACGCAAAAACTCTCGCACTCACCATGCACGCACGCACGCTCTTTCTTCATCGGCGTGGCCAGCGGCTGCTGCTGCATGGCTGCTCGTCGGAAAAGCACGCGTGCCTCCATGCCGGTCCGCCCGCGGCGCTCATCGTGCTGGCTGCTCAATTCTGCGCGCGACTGCTGACTGACTGCACTGCATGGCGCTGTCCGGCTGGATGTAAGCGAAGCCATGCGACGAACGCGGCACTCGACGCATCCCCAGCCCAGCCCAGCTGCAGGGCTGTCACAGGGCCATGGCCGGCTAGTCAAACCTCAATCACGATGGAGCGCCGGCTGAAGCAGGGAGCAGACAGACGCGCACGCACTCAGCCATGCAGCCAGCCTCATGCACGCACGGAGCGCAACGCGCAACACGCAAAAGTTCGTTTTTCTTAGCTGCACCAAAATCTTAAAGCTGGGTCGGGCCTAGCTGCTGATGGGCCAGCGCATACACGATTCTCTGAGCCGGGCACTTGGGCAGTCATCAGTTCCAAAGAGACGGCTGGCTCGGCTTTGTTCGCGCATGAAGATTTCGCTTGCTGCATGGCCATGCGGCTATGGATAGGCATAGGCAGGCATATTTCGCTGCATGCAAAGGACCCGGCTGGACCTTGGCCAAGCGCTGCTGCTTGCATGCTGCAACGTTTTGACTTATCGCTTCTTTGCTGGTGATGCAGTTCATTGCATGGATGGCGGGATGATGGCGGCGACTGCTGCTGCTGCTGCTGTGCTTGCCGCGCGACTCGGGCGCCGGCACATGTATCCGTTCTATTCCGCAGCTAACATTATTCTCGATAAATAGTCGTGAGTCAGCCTCGCGCGTATACTGTGACTCTACATGCGTGTGTGTCGAACATCGTCATTCACATTCAAAATTCAATTCACGATTGGTGATTGTGGTTCTCATTGATCCTCGTCGAGCATCGAATCAATTAAGCCTCGTAACGCTGACTGACGCACATCAACATCGCCACTCACGACCGAAGCGGCATGATGACTTATCTGAAGCAGAGGATGCACAGTCTAAGTGTGAAGCGCGACCCCACCTGAGCCAGCAGAAGGTGTGGATGTGGATGTGGATGTGGATGTGGAGGTGGATGACGTGAGGGTGTGGGATGTACAGAGCACACTTGCGACCACCATGCGCGGGCGGGTATGAGGCCAATGACGGGAGTAGTTATTATATACGCTTCGCAGTCAGTCACCAGCGAGGAGCGGTAAGCAGACGCTCGCGACTCTGGCTGGCCCTTTGAACAAGCAGTGACGACGCCCCGCCCGCGCCCGCGCCCGCGCCCATCTATAGCAGCTAGGCGGGGGCACTGCTCTAGCTGATCCAGCATGACGCTCGCTCATCATCACCCGGTTTGCTGCGGGTCCAGCGTTTCAGAGACGCAGACATCCCGCCATGCAGCCAGCAAAAGGTCACCCCATCTCATCGCACCGCGGCACCGCGCAGGTATAGGAAGAGAATTAATAGGCCTTGCGGCGGCACCCAAAGTGCTCTCTGGCTGAATCGCAAGGCGTGATCAAGAGCTACGTTTGCCATGGGCGTTTGCGAGTCTGCACCGCACGGCGAGGCGGTCGTTGCCAAGCCCCGCCCTGAAACAGCAGTGGCGTGGCCAGAAGCTGCTGCTGGCATGCATGGAAGCTGATCGGCATCACTCGATCGAAGCAGCTAGGCTTCAGCGAGTGTTTTGGGGAAGCGCGGTGGCGAGAAGTGATGGAGAAGGGGGGGGGGAGGGGACGCGAGCAGCTTCGCAAAACGTATTTAGGCAAGCGCCATCTCCAATCAGTCCCGCCAAATCCTGTCCCTTGTTCTCTCTCCCAACCCGAGCTCTTGACCGCTCGCTACATGCTCTATGCACCGCACCGCACGCAGGTCGTGTCGGCTCCAGCTTATATTCCGTGACACTCACACTGCGCAAGTCGCAGCGAGCTCAGAACTTGTAGCCTACATTATTGCCTTGCAACACAACGCTCACACTTTGACTTTGGAAGCCGCTTCGCTTGGTCAACATCATCATGCGCTTTCTCGACCCTCCATTCAGCGTGGTAGCAGTCCTGTAAGTGCTAGGTCTGAACTGGCCGATCATCAATGTTCACGCGCGCTGACCGTCTGATCACAACTCTTCCTGATTCTGACAGAGCTGTTGCAACGTCTGTCTTGGCACAGCCCGGCAGACATGCTTCAAGATCTGTCACCGACGAAACTCAGGTGTGCACTTGATCCTGCTTACGAAACCCTTTTCATCTGGACTTCGAGCGCTGAGTGCGTCTGCTCCTGCTCCTCATCAGGTCACATCATCCACTCTACTCGGCCGCGAAGCTGACAGCTCTGTTGAGATGTTGAGCCGCCGAGCCTACAAGATCGCCCTGCCGATCGGGAAAGGCAGTCTGAAAAATTTGTGGACCGTGACTAAAGCGCACGGTCCGAAAGCAGGTTTGATGTCAGTACACAATGTCCTACTGAAGTCCCACGCTGCCAGACCGTCACGCTAACATGCGCCATTCTTCTGATTTTGCTGTCTGAGCGCAGGTACGCTCTGAGTTCCAAAGTGCGTCTAGCTTACAAGGCTGAGCATGTGACGTGGAAGAATCGGCAGATCATCATGCGAAGCAAGTGGCGAAACCACGGTGCTAATGTCCCACCCGCGAACCAACAGAAAGGCGGCAAGGTCGTTGGCAAGATTCGAAAGGTGCTCAAAATCAAATCACGCCAACGACGCTCCTTGCTCGCTCGACAAGCTTCTGCACCGCTAAGGCGTCGATCGCCATTGGGAGGCGTCATCACTGGTCTCAAGACGGCAGGCAGGTATGTCAAGGACACTGCCAAGGTCACTTACAAACACGGCATCGGCGCAGGAACTACGTGAGCGAAATAGGTCTGGCATGCCTACCGTCTCACAGCGATGTGCTGACCTTGAAATCGGTACAGCTTTGCCAAGAGCGCCTCTGCCCGTCAAAACTACAGAAAGGCTGGCTTCCAGGTCATGATGGATGTGAAGAAAGGCAAGACGATCGTATACAACACCAAGGGCGTCAGACTCACCGCCGAGGGAGGTTCCGGTTTCAAGAGCGTGAACCAGCTTGACGGCTATTTGGCAGATGTAAAAAAGATGTACAAGCAAGGCGGCATTCACCGCCGTTCTCCACTCGGCGGAAAGATCAGGCTTGTCGATTCCGTGGCGGGCATTATGCAGAAGCGAGCACCTATCGAGGTAAGTAGCTGTGTGTGGGCACGGGCATTGATCGCGCATGACAAAGTGCTCAGATGACTGCCCTTCTGCTTTGCTTTGCTTTGCTTAGTCTCGCGCAGTCATTACGACCACTGAAAACTCTGCCGAGGTACGTGACTGATTGGCATGGGCGACTGTGCTGGGGATAGACTTGGGGTGTTGAAACGGGATGAATCCGACTGCCTTTGATGTTTCTCGGACGGTCTCGGCGCTCTGGCCAGCACGTCCTTCAGAAGCGTTGCGGCGCATTGAAAGCTTGCTGGGAGGAAGTCGGCAAGATTTTTAAAGGACGAGAGTCGGAACTTCAGCAAGAGCCCTCTAGAGCATCGCAAGGCCTCTTACGCGACGTAGGCGCACCTCGAGTTCAAAAAATGTCGGCAGACCAGCACAGCCCCTCGTACAACGCTTTCACCGACAAGTCACCTCAACGCACAAAGGGCCGCATTGCTTGGCAGGGCGAGCGTCTGACCAAAGACAACATCCCCAGACAAATCAAGATCCGAATCCCTAGGCCGGTCGCGCAGGCTTGGCTCGGCGAGCCCTAGTCCCCAATCACGGCCATCTTGCTTTATTCAAAGTCCCATTGCTCGCTCGATTCCTCCAAGCTTCACACGATCCACTTCACCCGCTCATGTTGCTTTAAGCTCGAAGCGGTTGTTATTTTCCTTGATCCAAAGATGACTAGAATACATGCAGGTGCGAGGCGATGTGCTGTCTGACTGTAGGCGCTGAGAGTTGAGGCGACTGCGAGAGTTTACCTCTCACCTCCCAATGTTCCCATGGGCGTCTTGGAGAAGTCTCGCCTGTCAGATGCATTAGGGTGGGCTTTGGAGGGAGTCATGCCAGTCTCTGGGCCGTGTTGAGATGGCGTCGTGGGTATGGAGCTGGAGACGCCGGAAGCAGCAGCAGCAGCAGCAGCAGCAGCAGCATTCGCAGCAGGTGTAGAAGCAGTCGTGCTACCCACAGCTCGGTTTGTGTGAGTGCTGAAGCCGTACAGACAGCCGCTAACGAGCAAGATACATGAGGTGTAGGGCACCGATGTCAGAGATGGAGCCAAAGTACGGCCTTCGAGCCACTTGCTACTCACAGATACTTCGAGTCATCGATGACCCCGTCAAAATAGACGTTTCTCAGCTTGAAGAATGTGTTCGCAGTAAGCAAAGAGTCACTACCCGCTTGATGTTGCTGGCCAATTCTAGAGACCCCGAGATCGTCAGCAACGTCTTGGAGTCCTCCTTTGAGCGTCTTACAGCTCCTCATGAGATATTTGATGTCGTATACACATGGGAACCAAAGCCTAAGCAGCGTAAAGAAGTCTGACTCTTGAGAGGGCAAAGGGGAGCAGGTCACCACCTTCAACAAGTAGCCAAAGTCGTAGCCCCTGAGATGACGAGCAACACGCGTCAACGATGATAGTGAAGTGCTTGATGTACGTTCGCATCGAAGACACTCACGAGTGGAAGCTGACCCACTTGACATCGTCAAAGAGAGCTAAGCCAGAAGTGATGAGGAGCTCGCCGAAGTGCTCGACATCTATGCCCATCCTCTCATGCCTCTCAAAGTCCAGTCCGGCTTTGTGCAGCAGCTCAAGTGATTCGGGAGCGCACATATCGTCACTGGTCGACGCCGAATGTGAGATCGCTTGAATTTAGCGCACGTGGAAGTCAGCGAGGCTGCTTGACACACTCACTTGACTGAGAAGGTGAAGTTGAACTGCCAAGTGCAGACCTCGTTGGGCGGTGGCAGCTCTCCGTTCTCGTCGCTCAGAGTGATACCCAGCTGGATGAGCTTCAAGAGGTCCACGTTACATCTCAGTGTCTGGTAGTGATAGTCGGAGGATCCTTTGAAAGTTCCGATCGGTCTTGCCACGATGCCTGGGAATTCAGTGTCCTGTACGCGCAATGGGGCGTGTTTTAGATGGGATAGGATCAGCATGATGGGCAGTGCATACAGCAGCATACAGCATCAGAGATCGCGTCAGATGAGCACGGCGCGACTCACCATGGCGACGTAGGGATACTTGATGATGGCTTCCCGCAAAGCAGCCATCTCGCTCTCCACATTGTGGGCCCAAACCTCCCGAATGCGACCCGCCATCTTGACAAGCCTCTAGTGCAGGGGTCGATGACTCTACTCGATCTCAACAGCGCCGTTGCGCAAGATGTGAGGTGGTACGCGAGAACGATCGCGAGTAGACACTGGCTGTTAGGGAAACTGTTGCTAGTCGTGTCGCAGCTACCAAAGCTAGCAGGTATCTTGGAGCGATACAGTGAGGTATTTCAGCTGGATTGGGTAGGGTCTAGCCGATGAGCAATCGCTATGATGTGAAGGCAGCAAGCAAGTCAGACGACTTCATGAGACCTCGTTGAGGATTGGAGTCTGTCTGTTGCCAGCGGTGTCTGTGTGGTGATCGAGGTAGGTTCTCCAGATTTAGCCAAGGTGGTCGTCCACACGAAGCACGAAGGGAGGTGGACCGTCTGCGCGTAGACGCAGCACGGATGGCTGCTCAATTTGGGTCACGTGTGCACGAATTGCCTACCCCGCGCGTTCCAGCCGAGAAAGTGAGAACTCACGACTCACGCGACTGCATGCATGGTCGTTGGCGCACGTATGTCCCAAGACTCGGCATCCAACGGCCAGTCACGAGTAGAAAGGACCAACCTCGAAGCCACCTTCAATCACCTCTTTCTTCTCGTGAAGGTTCAGACGTCTTCAGCTGGGCATGTAAGACTTTTGGAGAAGCGCAACACATGAAAAAAGCCTGTGGATGAGCATGCGAATGCCATTCTATCGTGCTCGTCGTGAAGCTGGTGGAGGTCCATCACGACGACGCTTTCTCGCCCGCATTGGGCACATCAAATCGGTCTTGGGCAGCGATCTTCATCATCGTCAACTTTCCATGGCCTGAATATCAGCATTTCATCAGGGTCTACCTGCGCAGAGATTGACCATCGTGCCAACATGGCTAAACCACCTGCACTAGGAGTCAACAGGCCTGCTTTGGGGGAGAGCCGTGGCAACACGCGAGGATTCTTGTCAGCCGAGCACTTGCAAGCTGTTGCGAGAAGCAACGTCGGAGAGAACAGTGCCAGATCGCCTCCCGCTCGAGCTCTTGCGATGCCAACGGACGGCGCCGCATACGCACTCTCAGGAAGTCTTTCGCCCACTGCGCGTCCACCACCACCGCCACGACAGACTCCCAAGACAGGTGGCGTGCAACCTAAGCCACTGGCCGCAAATCTGACCAAAGGCCCTGAGCAGAAGTCCAAGCCGAAACACACCTCGATCGCGTCTCGCCCTCTGAGTGTGTCTCAGACAAGTGCGACGCAGGTCACGCCTAGACCCGATCCCAAAGTCAAGCCTCTCTCCACTCCGCATTCACTCACGGCTTCTCCCCGCCAGGGTGTAGGAGTGTCTCCGACACGTGCACCAAGCTCATCGGCGCTGACATCGTGTGAACAAATTGCCAGTCAGGCGCAAGCTGGACATATCGCAAACACCTCATCGATGAGCCCTCCCTCAGCACCCGCGTCGACCACTCTTCATCATCAGAGCCCGGGACAATCGCAACTCGATCACCATAGCGAAACTTCACAGCCCAACTTGGCGACGTCTGCACTCAGCGATGCTTCCATGCAGCCAAATGCGACAGCTTTGACGTCCCACCAGACCACTGCCAACCAGCAAGCCGAAATCAAACACGAACCTGCCCGCGGGCTCCAATGGCAACAACAGCAGTCAGAAGCGCTTGGACAGAGCCCACAGGGTGCAGCTTCAGCTGTCTATTCCAGCGCAGCATCTATCGGAGTGCTTGCACCTGTCGGCGGTCTAGAGACGCCTTGCTCTGATCTGTCACCTCAACACGCGGTGCTGAGATCTGCCGCCGCTAATCCTGCTCAAGGAACGCGTGAGCAAGATACAGCCGCACCCCTTTCCCCGCGGCCTCATGTTGGCTCATTCTACACTTCGCCAGACCGCACCCCAGATGTGTCAGGTGTCACGATCTCGTGCAAGCGCGAAGAGCACCACCAAGAACAGCAAGAGCAGGACGCAGGCTCACAACAAGGCCCAGACTCTTACGTGGCCGAGCAGTGGTCGGAGCACGACCGTGTGGTGCTGGTAAATCATTTGAAGGCGCATCCCACAGATCAGGCTCTATTCATACGCCAGTGTGCGGTTGCTGAGGGTCATCCGTGGTGCATGAGTATTGCACATCCGGCATATCAAGCGTATCGATCCTTGGTAATCTGGAGAGCTATAGCGCCGCATTGGGAAAGTGCTCGCGCACCGAAGAGGGAAACCTTTTTCACGACTGTCCTCACACAGGTGGGGTACCTTGAGAGGTTGGTAGATGATGTGCTGCAAAATCTACAGGTTTCATCGCGCAAGCTCAGTCTCAGCCAGATTCAGCAGGCGGCCTCGTCGGCTCCCACTCAACACATGCGGATACTTCTAGAGACAGATGCTCATATTCTAGAGGGAAAGGAATCGCAATTTTCTTGGCTAGCCGATTTCCGCACTATGCAACTGGCTGGACCTCCGCAAGCCGACGTCAGCTCCCCAAACACATCATCAGCGGACCATCCTGGCCTAGCAAACCTGACGATGCCCCGGGCCGGCGCGCACAGTCAGCGCTCTCAATCAGCACCTCTCACCCCGCAGCCCGTCAAGCATGAAGACAGCCATCTCCCCCAAGGACATTACTCTGCTCGTGCGCAATGTTCAGGCCTACCCCCATCCGATGCAGAGAGGCTTCAATCAATCGAGGGTTCATCGAGCAGTGTCGCGAGAGACAACATAGTTACAACGAACCCTGCTACGAATTGGATGGTGAGTTCGGTGCCCCACGAATCAAACACACACATACTGACCTGAGCTTCAGTCTCTTTCGCAGTATCCCACAAGTAATGCCACAAGTAATGCGGCGGCCGCGAGCTGCCTACCACCGCCGACGACTGCCATTCCGCAGACTCATCACCATCCTGCTCCTGTCCTTCACCACGCTGTAAGTGACGTGCGTCGACCAGGCCTCGATGCGCACACTCATGCTTTCTAGCCCTTTGTGGTTCCAGGATGAGCTTGAGCAGGCGCGCGAGTCTCTCAGGAAGGAGATGACCATGGCATTTCAAGCACAGACTGACGCAATGAAACGTAAGCTGCGAGAAGAGATTTCTGCTGAGCTCCAAGAAGAGCACGCCAAGAAGTATCAGCGCATCGAGCATCAACCACAACCACGCGAGCAGGCAAGCCCAGACGACGAGGCTCCACCCGAGCAAAACACCTCTCATCAGCAGGACGAGCTGCAAGGAGTGCCGAATCGATATCAGTCGCAGTCGGCCGAGTCTGAGCAGCTCAGACGCGCAGACGACATTGCTAGGGGAGAGGCGATCAAAAAGAGGGACGACGCTCAGGCATTGAAGCTTTCCACCTTGGAGCAGAGCTTGCAAGAGAAGGACAAGACGATAGAGTTCCTGCAAGAAGAGCACAGTCGCTCCAGAGAGTATTTCACAAAGAAAGTTGTCGGCTTGGAGCTGCACAAGGACAAGGTCGAGCGAGAGCTTAAAGAGCTCAAGGGTCGTCTGGCACGAGGAGCATCGACAAAATCGTTCGACTGTTCCAATTTCGACCGCAAGGGGTCGCCTGACGCGCGTCCGAGCTTGGGCTTATAGAAGACGCAAGATCCACTTGAATCGTCGGCTTCACCAAGGTTGCAGGTTTTCCAGAGCGCCCAATTCGGGCCTCATTCTCACCCGCATTTAAGCTTCACCGATCACGATGCGAAACATCTAGAGCCACTTCACACCACATGTCCAAGCATGCACCCGCGTTGTCCAGTTGCGTGTGCGCCTCTGGAGGCGCCCTGTATTCATGCATCCTCCACGACATTTCCCACCCATTCCCTAACACCCCGAAATCCCTTCCCGCAGAACGTCGTAGTTGACGATCCCTATGCGCTGTCTGTCGCACAGAGCAGAGCGAATCAGAGATGCAGAGATGATAGTACATGACATGCATTGCAATGTCGACCAAGATGTAGCAGATAACGCGGGTGGCTGGTCAATTGCAGCGATAAAGGTGGACTTGCAACTGTGCGTGGCTGCTGGTGCGAAACAGACGGGGTCAGACGCCGCGACTAGGGGTGCTAATGGCCCGTAATGATGCGCAAGCCTCCAAAGTCTGGCAGCTCAAAGCGAGAAGAAAGATTCGCGGCGCTCGTGCTCGGGGTGCTTGAGGGAGATACGTTTGAGGAGCATTGTGCTTGCTGAATAATACCTGATCCAGAGGGACAAGAGATGAACATTCTGCTAGTAGGCATTCCCAACCTGTCCGATAAAGCCTGCACGACGATTGGAGTAAATTCTGCTTGGACTAGTGGCGCGGCGCGTGTCGAAGAAGCGTGTCAAAGGCTGATTAGTCTTGCGCGATGATGCAGAACAAAAAGCAAAGGAACGTGAAGACTCTCACCAAAGATCAGGTCGACGGTGATGGTAGGAAAGCTTTCGTCCACCAATTGACTATTGGCTTCGAGCTCCGATGGGATATGCGAAACGCGGTCGAAACAGTGTACGAGAATGACGCGAGAACAAGCCGGTTCGTGCTTAGAATGGAGAGTCGAAGCGAAATGAGGACAGTTTCATCAGCAATGCCCGCCGTGTTGTTTCGTGCAGGCTCATGTGCCTTACCTCATGGATATAGCTGAGCACCCTGACCAAGGTGGATATTTCGTCCGTCTTTGTAAAATACACCACGACGTCCGACCTATTCTTTCTGATCCACGCAATGATGCTCTTCCTCCAAGCGGAAGATCGATCGAGTCCATCTTTGCTCTTAGCATTCTTTCTCATCCTCGAGTTTCTGTTCCAAAGCGTCCATTCCTGGTCGATGGTCCAGAGAAACATCTTGACCAGCGCGATGCGATGATGCAGAGCGAGCAGGACGAAGAGTATGACTGCTGTGTACGCTACCATTTGAGCCAATGTGATGGGTGCTAGAGCCGCATTGCCTGCTATAGCAACAAGCCCAATGGAAAGCGATGTCAGAATGACGAGCAGCGAAGCTTTTCGTTCGCGAGGCAGAGTGCGTCGAGAGTGGAGCTGCAGAAGAGAGGCAGAGGAAAGGGAAGCATGGTCAATCGTGGTAATCTACCCTGTTATGAGCGGGTAAGGGACTCACGATGCAGAGCAAGGAGATAGGAAAGCACGTCAGGACGCACAGGAAGACCATAGAGACTAGCGCGCAACGACGGAAAGTTCACAATGTCAGTTGATGCAGGTGCAAACCCACAAGGTGGTAGCTCTCTGCCTACGTGCCAATCGTACTCCTCCCACTCACAAACGCCGCTAAGCACCGTCAAGTCAAAGCGAGCCGTAGCGCACATACACATGGTCAACGCCGCAAAGAGCAGCACAGCGTTAGCCATCGTTGCCGTTCGCGGCAAAGTCCAGGACAAAAATCGCGGCAAGACCTTGCTCGAGACCAAGGCTTCCACTGTGCCGCACAAGGCTACTACGCCCGTGATGATGCCTCCGCTGAGCACTATACAGGCATCAGTCAATACTAAGTAGCGCAACCATGCTCCGGTACTAGTTTGAGCCAGACTGGCTAGAATGTTTGGCGTGCCAATGGATGATGAGAGGCTGCGTCCCGAACGAGAAGAGATTTCAGTGCATTGTGACTTCGTTGTGTCAGCCCCAAAATACGGTCACATTCTGACGCCAGCAGCACTTACGGCATGACAGCCACTATGAGCAAGGCAAGCATAGGCTCGGTGAGAATAGATATGTGCAAGTTCCTCAGAGCTTTTTCAAAGCTGCCTCTCTTGACCGAGGCCACATACGCCGGAGTGGTCTCCACGCCCGTCAGGCCAACAAAGGCCAAACAAGTAGCATCAAAGACGATTCTCACTGCACTCTTTTCGCTGCCGCCGTTGCGTCGCGTCAATGTGCGTCTGCTTACGGTAGAGACTGCATCTCCATGGAAAAAATCGACCCAGTTGGAACGTAGTTGCACATTGCCCATTCTGACCCAGCTGATCAGTCCGGCGATGATTAGGATGAGCATGGTGACAAGGTGCAAAGAGACCATGCCCAGTGCAACTTTGGAACTGTCCTTGATTCCCATTAGACAGATGATGGATGTTGCCAGTATGAGTAGCACGCTGATCAATTTCATATCCACAAGCGTCGTCGTCGTCGTCATCGTCTCGGCAGAAATATAGCTTGCAGCTGTTGCAGCACTCACCGCGCCCGTAGCTAGCGCGTCCAAGAGATTGAAAGCGGCAGCAAGTAGCGGAAAGAGTGTAGCTCCACTGGTAGAGTTTGAAAGGTAGGTAAAGTTTCCCGCATCCGAGCCTCCGAGTGCGCTAGCCAATTCGACGAGGATGGGTCTGAAAGGCCAAAGCAGCAGCGCAGCGAGGGCCATGCCGATCGGACTCAATGCGCCGCTCACGGCCAACACGGCAGGAAGAGAGTAGAAGGCGCTTCCCGTCACGGCGTTGCCTGCTAGTGCGAACGCGCGCCATTGGCCAAGCATCGCGACCGGTCGACGGAGCACTTTGTGCTCGGCAGATTCCAGCTCGGTCTGGTTGAAGACGAGCATGGACATGCTGCCCCATCCTGCGAACTCCACATCCGACGAGCCTGAATCGAGCGCATCGTCAACGTGGAAAGAGTCGCACGCGCTGGGATCCGTATACTGCTCGACAGGGTAAGTACTGTTCGAATGACGATGATGGTGCTTCTCCTTGCCATCAAAGCGAGCTGCGGCCGACCTGTTCGCCGCAGAGTGCCCTCGCCTGCGGCTGCGGCCGCCACTAAGACGTCCTCCTTTGCGCTGCACGGCGCAAGCTTCGCCTTGTGCCACTTCCTCCTCGCCCACCACCGCATCTCCGCTCTCCAATCTCTCAAAAGTAGGCGAGACGATTCTGCGTTTGCGCTGTCTGCGTATGATGGTAGCGACTGCGCGAACAGAGAAATCGGACGTCATGCATGCACGCGTGGCAGTCACTGTCTCTCAGCTCGTTGCAGCAAAGTTGTGGCAATTCTTCTTCCCACCGCTGCTCTCCACTCACACTGAGATTCGGCAAAGCTTGGGGGATAAGCGGATGAATTGGACGCTTGACGCTGCCTGCTCGTCTGTGTTGCGGAATTGCTCAGCTCGTAGGCTTGTTCCACTGCACGATCATCCATAACGACCATTCGAGGTGTGTTTGAATGTCTCCTCCTTCTCAATGGACTTTCGCCCGGAGGGACGTACAAGGAGCGCGCTGCGCGCGGCGGGCTCGAACGGTGCGCCAGTGCTTGATCGTAAGAGCGCGAATTGGCCGCAGCATTTGGTTGTACTGCGTTCGAAGCGCCGAGGTCAAGGTCCAGAGGCTGATAGTGATGAGGGACGATATCCGCGATATCGCTCTCTGCGTCGAGAGAGGCGCGGAAAGCCATTTGGTCAGTGGCTGACTCTCTCAGCACGCCTTGCCCCGATCCACTCACCGCCTCGCGCAATGGACCAAGCTTGGCCCCCTCCCTCCATCCCATCAAGCCTCAACCGAGGTGCCAAATTTCCACCCATCCCTTCCCACCCATCATGCGTATGATTTGGCGCGTGTTTTCTGCTACTATTACCGAAGCTCAACCTCCTGCCTTTGCCTTTTCCCTTACCTTTGGCCGCACTTTCGGTGGGCGACTGGGACAAGGTCGAGTTCACTTGCACTGAGACAGGGCTGGTCCGAGTGTGGTTCAAGATGCCGCAACTCGTCCCTGTTTGATTTGCTGAATGTGTGCTGGGAGAGGTGGCTGCTGCATACACAGTCTCTTGCTCCGTCCTCGCAGCTCCTGTGTTTTCGCTACCGCTCGGCGAAGAGAACGAGGAGGGGAATGGACGATGCGCTCCCATCGGTATCGATGACATTGCTCGAGATGAAAGCGCCCTGCGCTCCCGCACGGCGTGTAGGTATGTATGACTGCTGCGCTGCTATCGAAGCGTTGTTTGGTGTCCCTCGCAATCAGGGATCGCGGGTCGAGGATTGGAATAGTCCCTCCCAGTATCGCGGGGAGTGAGTCGACTCCTTAGCCGAGTCACGAATTCAAGTGGGTGTCCGAGCCACTTCTTCAACCTTTGGAAATGACCCCAATGAAGTTCATTACAGAGCATACATATGCTGCATGTATGATGAAAGTATGGAAGCGTCTCGTTGTGTAGTAGTGATGTGGCGCGTTGGCTTGCGCAGACTCGAACCGCAAATGTAGGGGAGCATATGCGGCGTGCCGTGTACGCGTGGGATGGAGACGGAGCCGGAGCACCGCGGAGTAACATCATCCCCCCGCCGACACCGCGCGAGCGAGGGCTGGCGCGGAGTCCGACGTTATTGATTCGGCGCAGCTGTCACCTCTGCTCAGCGCTGTGCTGTACCTCTAACCTCATCAGACAGGCATGCACCAAGTGCGCCGCACCTTGACCTCTCTCACACCATCACGAACCGATCAGGCTGTCTCGGGCGTCACACAGCAAACCTCGCCCAGCTGCTGGCTGATCCCTTGTCAGCTGTTCGGCACAAAGCCAATCGTAGCTACATCACACCGGGTAGCTGCCTTCTCACATCCGCCACTCACCGTCAACCTCGCATCGCCACACGGCTATTCAAACAGATTCGGATTGGAGCAGCAGCATCTCACATCATCCCCATCCTCTACCGGGCCAGGCTACCACAATGCCAGCATCTCTACCTTCTCGACCAATTACGAGCCATTCCTCTCGCTCGGCTCTTGCTCCCTACCCTTCCTCCCGTCCTTCCGCTTCCAAGTCGAGCAACAGCACGGGCACGGGCACGAGCACAAGCACAAGCACGGGCACGAACAATCGACCAAAATCGCGTACCCGTCTCTTCGTCTCCTCTCTTTCGCCAGGCGTAAATGAAGCAGCGCTGGCTACCATCTACAAGCCTTACGGTTCTATCATTGATCTTCATCTCGTATTCTATTCGACGGGCGAACTAAAAGGAAAAAGTAGAGGGTATGCGTTTGTGGAATTTGCAAGGATCGAGGATGCGGAGATGGCCCGCGTCAACACCGATGGTAGATTGCTGGCTGGTAAACATATTCGAGTGGGGTTCGCCGATGTGAGGGTGAGTGGAGATGTTGAAAATAATAACGGGTGGATGCATGCGCGGGTCCGCTCAGATCTGTACAGCCGATCGTCTTTCAGCCCGAAACATCGTCCGGCTCGGCCACTCACAGACACAGACATCAAGAGACCAAGCAGCAGACGACGCTGAGCATCGTCAAGAATGCGAACAGGCCGGAAGGGTGAGCAAGCGTCTGGCGCGTTTCGGAAATGTGCTGGATCCCTCGTTGAATGTATGCTCTCCCCTCTCCTCTGCATAGTACTGCGGCCAAGATTGCAGCGATGGAAGCCAAGTTGGCAGCGATGAGATCCAAGGGGTCCGAATGACTCTATTCGCAGCTCAGGTGCTCCTGCGTTGCGCGCTAAACTCTTCTCAGGAACGTCAAGTAGCCTCAGGTCGCTCATCCGCGGTGCGCCTGTCGGTGGGCCTATCGCACAGACCGCGCTAATCGCTGCACTTGGGCAAAGAAGCTCTTCATCTTGTATCTGCCTGTATCATCGCGAGGATGGCCTCGAATTGGAGCTAGACGAGCCCAAGCCTGATGCCATGCTCAGAAGCTCGCTGTACGAGCGATGGCAGGCGAGTGGCGAGGGCGTACGAAAGACAACCAAGTGCTCGGCGCGCATCTTCGAACGTGTTCAGCCCGTAGGGAGGGTGGGACACGTGTTCAGCGCGTAACGATCACCAGCAATCATTCGTCAACTACCAGGCCCATCTCCCAACTGTTCGAGCGTCGCTCAAGTCGGCGCGCGAGGTGGAATGCCAGCATCCGCGTTCCACCATCTTTCATTCGTCGCATCCCTCAAATGGAACAGCAAGGGTCTTGCACATTACCTGTCATAGCGAAGCATCGCGACGGGTTGCATCTCGAAGCATCGTGATCGCTCATCAGCAGGATCGTAACATCCAAGGAGCCGAAAGCTTCCTCATGACGCATCTGCTTGGCGTCTTCTGTTCGCTCGTGACTCTACCTCCTCGTCGATGTGCCAGTAGTCCAGCGCAAGAGAGGGCAGATGGGTGATGATGCAAGTTGGCCATGGTAGGAATGCAAGACTCGATCGACATTTTGTACCATTGGGATCCGCACATCATCGGAGCCTCGCATCCCAACACACGTCTTGCCCCGCTGACACACAACCGCACGTCGGTTCCTCTCACGGACACGCACATGATCTCGGACACTGCGCAAACCATGAATGCGGATCCAAGATGACATTTGAACAGGCGTGAGGGAAGACGGGGAACGTTTGACGATTGCACATGTACGGAAAAGAGGGAGAGAGAAAAGAGCAGAGGAAAAGGTGCATGAATGCCATGAGGTGCAGGTCCGGAGAAACAGGCGAGGTATGTGGAAGAGTGCGCGAGGAAGAGCGAACGGTGCGAAGGGACAATGGAGGAGCGTAAAGGCATGAACGGGGCGGAGCGGGTATGAGCTCTTGTCGCATCAATTGACGTCGACAAAACCAAGCTTTGGAAGTCCGTCCGGATCGTCTTTGCGGTAGATTTGGCCAAGACGAACTTTGACCGCTCGAGCTCCGTGAAGCGAGCCGCCCTCCTTGAGCAGAGCATCGCGGTGGAAGCTGTTTTGCAAGCCACCTTGCGAAGAGGCGATGACTGCATCCACAAAGTCGATCGGGTCGCACTCTGCGATGTATGGCGTGCCGTTGGGTCGGTCGTAGTAGTGACTCCATGCGACCAATGCAAAGGAGAGCGCAGCGAAGACGAGGATTGGTGTGAGAGACCAATACACGACGGTAGATGAATCGTTGTTGCCTTGTCGCCCATTGCCCCAGCCGACTGTGCTTGCATTCCATAACCCAACTGCACCGATCGTACCATTGAGCGTACTATCGGCAATGTTGTTCAAGTTATGCGTATCTGGATCGGCAAGCGCGTACGTCAACCATTGTCTTTGGGCTGTCATAGCATACTCTGCCACGCCGATGAGGAATTGCTCAAGATGAGGGATGGAAAGGTCAATGTTGGTCTGTTCCACGCCCGGAGGTTTTTGCTGGAGGTCGAATGTCCAAATATGCATCATAGCGTTATTCTGGGAGGGCAGATAGATGTAGCCAGGAGGTGGACCAAAAGTCTCCTCTGCGGGGATCCCAGAATCCGGAGGTGTGACCACCGGTGAGCCGATGGCGTCAGACTTGCTGAACACTGATTGAGCTGCATCGCGTGCCGCCTGATTGAGCCACCGGCGAGTATACCACAACAACTCCTTATATTCGACTGTACCGTTGAGAATTGCATCGATCCTCTCTTCTTTCGTCAAGGGAGGCCTCACGAGAAGCGAGCGGTTGTTGCCGGTAGTGTAGTTCACGCCTGAACCAGGTCCATCTTCGACGGTAAATGAGTCGGCGGCGGACGAGTACGTGACGTCGCGACGGCTCCAGTATGGCCGGATCGTGCAGCTCAGGTCGTTTTGAGAGGGCGCCGTGAGGTATTGACCACCAGAGGTCCGGTTCAAGTACGTGGCGACGCCAGCTCCAAACTGGGCCTGTTTGGCCATGTTGACCAGTACCAAGGTGGAATAATCGGGGTCTTGCCACCCAGCCGTGTCAGTCGCATCATTCATGTACGCGTCCAGATTGAATTCGTCGCAGAGCAGGGGCACGACGCTTCCCAAGCCTGCGAACACAACATCGTATTGCGGTGTCTCGCCGCACAGGTAAGAGATGTTGGCGCTACCCAGATAAGCGTCCCACTCCACCGAGACATTCGCAATGCGGCCAGATAGACCATATGCAGGGTTTTGGTCAGGCCTATCAGTGCACTTCACTTCTGCACTTGCACCTTGTTGATTGACAGTGTACCGATACTCATAGCCTTGTGGTCGCGCGACGGAGTCTGGAATTAGTCTTGCGTCTGAGTTGATCATTGCTCCGTTTGGGCCCAGAGGCACGACGCCTCCTGTGCCTCCGACGAAGGTGGTGTTGATCATCTTGAAGACCGGGTTGTCGAAGCCACTGAAGCGCTGTAATTTTGCCATGCCAGCGGAGATCAAAGTTGAAACGTCGGAGAACTGAGGACATGAGTCTGCGGAGCCTCTGAGTTGGACCGGAGGTTCGCCAGCCTGGTATGTGTAGGTGTTGTATGCGATGCTAGAGTCGCAAATGGGAGCATTGGGCTCGCCCAGCACTTTCGAACCATTCGCGAAGGTGAACAAATGGGTCAGATCAAATGTACCCCCAGGTGTCAGCAAGTTCTCGTACACAGCCATTGCTTCGTTTAGCAAGTTGGCTTCCGGCCACATCACCTCCCTGAATTGGCTCATCGAAGTTGGCGTGAGAAGAGTTGCGAAAGCGGGCGCCAAGAATGTGGCCCCAATCCAAATGAGCAGCGTGGCTGTTGGCCATGCGAGTTTGCGCCTGCTCAAAGTGTAGCCCGCTCGCTTCGACTCAGCAAGGGCAGCGTAGGTGAGCAGCTCCGTTCGTTCCTTGCCGAAAGCTAAGCGACGGATCGCAAAGTATGAGAGAGAGTAGCCCCACAAAATGAAACAAACTTCCGAAATGAAGACACCGACCACCGTGAAAAGCTGAACTTGGGTTGTTGGATGCCGGAGAATGAATTCTGCGGTGGCATCGCTTGCAGCCAAATTGTACTTCACGGCAAGGCCTTTGAACAGATAGCATGCAAAGACCATGAAACTCCAACCTCCAATGATGACACAGAGGCCGTATGTAGCTCGCCAAAAGTTTTGCTTGTTGTGCTTAGCCTCACTGGCAGCGGGCAGCAAGTGACTAACGCTGACGCCTTCGGACTTTTGAACGAAGCTGAACTCGCTCTTGCCGCTCATGCTAGTCGTCCCGGTCATACGTCGGCCAAAGCCCTTCTCGACATCCGGGCTGGTGACTTCTTCAGTCGGACTCAGCTCTGCTACACGGTCGCGAGCCTCACCGTTGCTGCTGTCCTGGCTGTCGCTGCGGCGAAGCGCTGCAAAACTGATGTGACTTCGGCTAGCATCGTTCTGCGCCGAGCCTGACCGGCCCATGAGCGTTTGCAAGCGAGGAGAGTACGGGAAGCGTGGTCCCCGTGGCGCTGCAGGCGTGACTACACGAGGACTGGAAGCCGATGGAGAGTCCTGCTGAGCTTGCGAAGTCTGCTGTGGCACCGGGTCTGGCCTGCTCGGCTGTTGAGTCGTGCGGTCAACTTCTTGCGTCCATCCTGCAGCTGCGAAGGTTGGTGAGATTTCTGTCACTGGCGCATTGGTACCCGTGGGGCGGCTTATTTGTGGCCTATGGCCAGAGAAGCCATGTCGGAAGAATGACGACATACTTGGCAGCTCCTGTGAAGCGACCTTGAAAGCAATCACGAAGAGGGGGAGGGGAGCGAGGAGAAAAGGGGGGTGATGTCAGGGTAGGAAGCAGCAGAGAATGAGAGAGGAGAGGAGAGAGAGGAAAGGAGAGGCGGAATAAAAAGGTCTGGCGGGTCGTTTCAGCATTCGCAGAGCTAGACAAGCTGCAGGGTGACTCTTGACCCAGGACTGAAAGCGAGCGGCTGCAGTGCTCTAGGCTGCAATCACGAATGCGTGGACGGCCGGCGATGAAGGACAGGCAGCTGAACGGAAGGTCGCCTCTGCCGAGGGCTTCTGCATGGCAGGCAACGACCACTGAGGTCTTCGAGCATCGTCGTCTATCAAGAGTGCTGTCCAATCCAGTGACGGCAGAAAGCGCATGGCGTGTTGGCGCTTTGAAGCCGCCGTTGAGCAGCATCAACAAGGGAATCGGTGATGATAATCAGAGCAGGTACGTAGTCTTGAAGTGCCGCATCGCCTTGTGCATAAGTCCGACGACGCCAAATCATGCAGATGCGCACCTACTCCTGCAAGCTTCTGCGAGTGAAACTTCAGAGTTTTGAAGCTCGAAGTGATGGGTTTGCTGAAGTCCATTTTGATCCGATAGGCCGCCCGCTCGCTTTGCTCCACGTGAATAACTGTTGAGCAAATGCTCGAATGCTTCCCAGCCATCGGATGCTCATCAATCACCGGGGTTGGAGGGAACTGAGCGCTCGCCGCCACGGAACCATCGAGTGATGTTGTGCTCTGCGATTTTCTCATCAGGCAAGCCCGATGTCGCTCATGCAAGTTTAGCGTCGGCGCACCGCGTGGTCTTCGCAGGTCTGCATGCGTGGTGTCTGACTTGCAATCAGCAGTCACCAGCGAGCGATCCGCTTTGCCCCTTCCGCCTCGCAAGGTGGCGAGACAAGACGTGGTCAAGCATGAGCAAGATTGCGCATGAGCGAGCGAGCAAGTCGAGCTGAATCCATGAAGAGTCTGAATTCTCGCTTCACCATGGCAAGTTCGTGTACCGGTACATGACCAGACGAAGAGGTCTTGCGCATGCAAGGATGCTAGGCTTAGCGGCGTGTTACCGCGTGGTGTGTTGAAGATTGAAACCATGGCAACCCTTGCAAGAATGGCAAGAACGTGACCAGACCTCATGCGTGCACTCGAGCTACTTGACAGTAATCGCGCACGATGCACACGCCTTCCTTTGTGGCTTTGTCAGGTGCATCAATGTCTGCAGAGCTCAAGGACTTCTAGCGTAAGCACACCTTCCACTGCTCGACGGCATGCAACTACTCGCACACTTATCTACAGTGCCTTGCCCGTGACAGGCAAACGCGAGTCAGAACGCAAGAGATTTTGTGTGGCCGTCAGGATAGCGTATTGGAGCAGCGGGTGCAAGACCTTGACGAGGTGACCTTCGCTGAGCCGCTGCATCCTACTGGCTCGTCATTTCGGCCCAACTCCAAAATGATCTCCAGGGCGTGATACATGGCATGGAGGCTAACGGAAAGCGCCGAGCGAAGTATGTGTATGCGTGTGAAAAGGAAGTGAGGGTGCTGTCAGAAGACTGATGAGTTTTGTCACGAGTCTGAGTGGTGGATGAAGCGATCACGACTGCGCGTGCAGCACGGGCGTCAAGGTTAAACGCTCAAGGAGTCGAGAGCATTCTGATGCTGCACGTACGCAATTACCCCAGGCTGCCGCCCGCCTCCGCCTCCGCCTCCGCATTTCTTTTCAAAAGGGCTGTCACGCGCGCCATCACGCGCGCCATCACGCAGCGCCATGCTGTATGCAAGCATCATCAGCAGGGCCCTCTTCTGACGTTTGAAATCCTGACGAGGCTCAATGTGAATCAAGAATTAATTGCAGCTCACTCGCGCGTAATTCAAGATTGTGATCGAATACCGGTAAATGGGGCCAGCGCCTGCGTATCGTGACCACTCACACGAGCAAAACTCAAAACTTCTTTCTCCTCAGTCGCGAGTCTGAAATTTGCGCGATCGTCAATGGCTTGTCCACAGTCATCATCAACCCTTGCGCGTCAAGCACAACGCCCAGACACAAGGTCCACCGGGCCGGAGCGATCACGCCAACGTCAGCCAGCTGCTGAGCCACCATCAGCCAGCCAGCCGCCGTCAAATCCCCCGAGTGTGCATTGCCTCATCAGCAAACGCGATCGGACACCGTCCCTCAAGACTGCTGCTGCTGCTGCTGCTTGCTGTATCTGACAGCTGCACTTGCCCAGCTCCAACCCTGGTCACTGACCACCTCATACTCTGCTGCCTCTCATCCGTGTCCAAGGCTCCGCAGAGAGGCATCAGCATACGATTGGCACGTCGCTGTGGATCGGTGAAGGCGCAATAAGATGTCATCCTCATCCTGCGTAGACATCCGCGCCTTTCCTTCGGCGGCCGGCATGGACGATGACGATCCAAGCCGCCGGCCAGAGGCAGGGGGCCGCGAAGCAGCGACCGCATCAGCACAGCAGCCTGGCTCTTCCAGCGCCCAAACTCGCAGTGACCTACACCACACACATAGCACCTCGAGCCTGAGCAGCTTGGGTCGTCGACACTCGCTGACTTCGCCAAGCGACAGCAATCCTTCTTTTGCCGCTCAGCAACGGAGACCCAGTGGATCGCAGCCTCGATCACCCAATCTTCCATCCCCAAGAGCTTCAACCCAGGACGCAAGCAGAGCCTCAACGTCCCGGGCCAGCCCCGCTCGGCCGTTTGCAAACATGCGCACTTCCACCATGTTTGAGACTCGAGACGCCGAGTCGTTCAATCGCGACCGAAACCCTTTGGAGTGGACTGTTCCTCCTTCTCACTCCACCGGCTCGCGCGGGCTCTCCGCTGTACCTCGTGCAGCTACCATCTTTCTCGGCAAGGATCACGAGCGGTGGAAGCAGCATGCTCGAGACTCGCTTGATGGAGAGACGATGGGAACGCATTTGGCTTGGAAGCGGGGTACAGCCAGTCTGGTGGGCGTCACTCGCTCTTCAATCTCGGCGCTGGGTTTGGGAGAAGATGAGCCAAGCGATGATCTGTACAATTCGCACGATGATGAGACTTTCAGCGCCAGCGGCTCGAGTGGGCCTCCTACGCGACGAGGCAGCCGGAGTCGCAGCACCAACAGCAGGAGTGGAAGTTGGGGCCAGAGCGTTCCTCAAAGCCTTGATGCGGCGGCCAAGGCAGCCATAGCACAGGGGAATGGAGCGTCCAAAGTCGATCAATTACATCAACGTGGCAGTACCGAGGGCAGCAGCATGTCTAGCAGCATGGTCGCCAGTCCGACGTCTCCGAGCATGATCACCACCTCAAAGTTTAGCCTGCCACGATCCAGGCGTTTCAGCTCTAATGGTCCTGAGGCCGCGTTCCTGCGGCATGAGACAGTCATTGGCATCCATACACCACGCCGCGGCTCCGCAAGCAGCGGCTCGGCGGGAAGTTCAGGCAAAAACACTCCTAACAAAGGTAGCGTTGGAGAGCGAGTTGCTCTAGCCCCTCTGTCTCAGATCAAGACACCAACAAATGGCAAGCCGAGCATCCTGACCTTTGCCGATGACGAAGCTGCAAAAGGTCGGGAAACATCCAGAAAACCCAAAAAGAAGCCCCTCCACAAACGAGTGCATTCCAGCGAACTGCTGGCGCTCGCGGCAGCCGCAGCAGCAGCTGCTGCCGCTGCTGAGGAAGAAGATGGCACTCCGGACCATGATGATGATGCATCCAATGCTTCAGAAGACAAGTCCAGTCTGACATCGGAGCAACGCAATGTATCGTACTCTTCGCTTCTGACAAAACCAGGCCCAGGACATGCTCAGCCGAGAACGCCGTCTCCTCGCAGCGGACAGTTCAGATCGCGCGCATCACTACAGCTGGCGCGGCGAAGACGGCCCATCCGAGTTGACGGCACACTGTACGATCGAGGTGGACCTTTCCGCGAAGGCGCAGTGACGGATGGACTCTCGGTGCGCCTCTTCTCCAGCGCGGACGGTGCAGAGCCTGGATACATCGACGAAGACGGGCACATGACCTCTGTGGATGAGAGTAGCGCCATCTGCGACGAAGACGCTGAGCCGACCACGTATCTCATCACCACGCCAGATAATCGTGTCTCATCGGCCGCAAAGCTGAGAAGATGGGCTATGGATGGCGAGGGGAGATTTTGGGCTGCCATGGAACTCATGTCGGTGGAGCGAAAGATGCGCAACGCCGATGGAGGCATAGGAGGAGTGTCGAGGGCCATCATACGTGGATTGAGGGATCGGTACGTGGAGGATCTGCTGGACGAAGTACAGAAGGCCGAGACCCTCAATCCCACGCGCACTGGCGTGGTGGCAAAGGTGCTGAGAACCAGCGACGACAAGTACATTCGACTCGAGGAAGACTATCCGGAAGAAGCGTTTTTCGTCATTGCTGGCTGCGATGAGTCCGAGCTCTTCCCGGTGGTGTCGCTGGTCTTCTGCGGCGCGCTCAGAGCCATTTCTGCCTTCCATGCGGCAGGCTGGCTTCATGGAGACATCAAATTGGAAAATCTGATGTTCGACGAGCAAGCTCGATTGGTCGTCATCGACTACGAGAATGCAAACCCTTTCCGAGGCGTGCCCGGTGGCGACGGACGTGTCGCACTAGTGAGCTACGATTGGATCCCGCCAGAAGCTTTTCCAGGACCTCAAGGTCGTCGTGTAGGGCCAAGCGCAGACTTGTGGGCCTTGGGCGCGAACCTCGTCCGCGCCTTTGCCCTACGAGACGGTGTAGACGACATCGAAGTGCGGGAAGCGCTTCTGGGCAAGGGTCAAAGCGCATTCTTGAACTTTCGGCGCAAATACTTGCTCAAACGACAAGGCGCCGGCTCGGATCCATCATCGACCAGCACGACGAATGCCCCGCCCTCTCCTAACGCGCAAACATCAGGTGGAGATCATCTTCACGCCACAGTCAACTCCATCTCTGTACCTCGCATCACGACCAGCGACGAGCATTTGAGCACAGATGGAAGCAGGCATGAAGGATCGCAACACCACCACAGCTCAGAGTTTTCCAAATCGTCCCCTGGTAGCTCGCCCTCGCGGCGTCAACCACCTCGAGCGTCGGACATTGACCTCACCGCAATTCTTGAAGGAGAATCTGTCGACTATTCTGCGGCCAGTCCTGGTTCCACGTCCAGCAACGCCACCAAGCCCCTCTCTCCGCCTGCCCCCTCGGCCGGTCCATCGCCCGTCCGACTTCTGCGCGCCTTTGCAACGCAAGCGCCCGGAATGTGTCAATTCGTCTTGGCGAGGTGCTTATCCGAATTGCCGGAGGAGAGAGGAGCAGATGCGGAAGCGGAAGGTTTGGAGATGGTCAGGGAGCTGGAGCGACAGAGAGACGAGATTGGGGACAGGAGCATCTTGGCTACGGGAGAGAGGGCTGTCAGGACGGCCATCGACCTGAGTGGAAGCGCTTGGGTCAAACCGAAATTGGAAGCCGCTCGACAGAGCTTGGGATTGGGGGAGTAGCTTGCCTCCTCGGCTGGGAGACAATCATGGAATGCAAATAACAAATTCGCGTAGATAATCAGGGTGTCGGCGTGTGAATGCGGTGACTAGATGGCCCGCTTCTTGGGAGGTATCGAAGCATAACCCACTGGCTTTCGTAGGCACCATCAAGTCAGCAGGTGAGTTTGGAACCATTCGACGGTCCTATCGACGCTCTGTGAAGGCCGAAAGGGAGAAGAATCAGCGGTGCAATAGGCGCAGATAGCGGGAAGGCGTGGCAAGCACACGTACCTGCTCGAAAGCTTTCTTTACCAGCGGATCGCTAAGCTTGGGCCTCGCGCCGAAGCCGTGCACAGTGCTGCAAGATGGGGCAAGGTGTGGAGGATGGGTGTAGGATGAGCAGTCTGGGCTTTGAGTGTCGGGGGTCGTGCACACTTGCGTGAAGAGATACCCACTTTTCGTAGAGGACAAATTCATGCGCAGGAGCGTCGGAGCCCCTCGTGGCGAGGGCTGATTGGGATTGCTCCCGCAGCTTGTCTGGAAAGACCGGATCGGACTCGGCGCAGAGGAAGAGTGTCGCTGGGGG